ATTGCGATAGTCAGAATCTCGTTGCAATTTACTAAATCGCAATGCGATTACGTAAATCGCAATGCGAATACGTAATCGTATTGCGATTTACGTAATAGCATTGCGATTTTCCTAATTCGCATTGCGATTTACGTAATCGCATTGCGATTTACGTATTCGCATTGCGATTTAGGAAAATCGCAACGCGAATTTGGGAAATCGCAATGCGATAGTCAGAATCGCGTTGCGAATCTGGAAACTGATTTGCGATACCGGAGATCGCATTGCGAATTATCGATCGCATTGCGATTTAGTTGGTCATTTTGGCAAATCCAAAAAAAGTTGGTTAAAATCGTATATTATAAGGCATTTTTTAGTCACTGATGTTATTTTCTCATTTTTTTTATTCAAACCATAAAATTTAATTGAGATATCGGATTTGAGCTTCACAAATACTAATGGTATGAACTCTCATTGTCGAATGGTCGAGAATATTTAAGCATATACTACCTTATATATATATGACCTCATATGTAGAGATGCACATAGCCGGATTTAAATCCGATCCGGATCGGATACAAACCGATCCGGATCGGATAAAAATCGATCCGGTTTTTTCACTAAGCCAAAAAAACCGATTTATAAAAAAATCGGTTTGGATCATAACCGGTTTGGAGGGCCGGATGATGTAACCGGTGTAATCGGTTTCGGTTTGAAAAAAACCGGTTTTTAATCCGGTAAAAAATCCGGTCATACAATTTTTTAAACCTCAGACCGGATTTTTAAACCCCAGACCAGATTTTTTTCCGAATAAAAAACCGGTTTTTTATCCGGTTTTTTTCAAACCGATTTTTAATCTGGTAAAAAATCCGGTCGTCCAATTTTTTCCCAAACCGATTATACTATCCGATTTTAAAATATCCGATCCGGTTTAAAAAAAAATCGGTTTTTCCCAAATCCGGTTTCGGATATTTTTTATGCAAAATCGGATATTCATATTTTTTGTACACCTCTACTCATATGTATAAAAAAAATAAGAAAATTTCAATCAACATAATTGACATTGTAGACTAGGTTTGACTTGGTGCTTAATAATTGGCTATCGTACTAATCTATTCTTACTTTGAACTCTCGAGTTTGGGTTGGTATGTTTGTAGTTATCGAAGATAAGTCACGATTGAATTATAAAAAGATCAATTTGTCAACGAGCTATAATATATGTTTATACCTATCCATTGTCCAAATTGTTTAATTGTGTTTAACTCTTTCTTTGTATGATTTAGTTTTATTTTTGAGTGATTAGTCTGTACACTTTGAAAATTTAAGTTCAAACAGTTATATCTGGAGAATGTGTTGTTAATAACTAAAAGAATATTCTAAATATATATTATTTTATGATATTTTAAACTTTTCAAAAAAGTTATATCATTCTCGAACGAAATGAGAAATCTAAATTTCAAATGATAAATTATTACTAAAACTAAAAAATAAGGTATACAATTTAAATACATAAATATCTTAATTAATATTATTAATAATTTTATGTGCATTTTAATAATAAAAAAATTGAGAAACTACCTTCACCATCTACATATATATATGCCTGATACCATAACTATTAATGATTCATGTATGATAACCTAATCTCTGATTGTTCAACTAATATTTGTGCAAAAATAAATGATATTTATTTTATAAAAATAAATGATATTTATTTTATAAAAATAAAATAATATTGATAAATTTATTTTTTAAAATCTATATATTTTATTAAATCAAGCTTTATTTTAGTTAAAATATAATATTAATTGAAACATTGTTAAAGTTTTCAACCATATTATAATAAAAAAATAAAACATTAATTAATGTTATAATTAATATATTCTTCAACGCAAGTTTAACTTTTTAAAATTTTTATTTTCAACCATTTAATAATTTTTTTTTCGTTGGTGTAGTTGCGTGTTATAGTGTTATCTTACTGCATCTAGGTTTGAATTGTAAGCTTCTAGAAGAAAAAAAAGAATTCAGGGTAAATTATGCATTTAGTACTTAAAATATTAATTTTGGTCCATTTTAATACTTAAATTTTTATTTTTTCAAAACTATGCATAACGTTTAATTTTTGTTTCATTTTAGTACCCACTGTTAAAAAACTTAACGCATTTAGTACATAAACTATCAGTATTGATCCATTTTAGTACCTATACTTTCAATTTTTTCAAAACTTAACCTTAAATCTTGAATGGGTACTAAAATAAAATAAAAACTAACTTAGGTATTGTTTAAAAAATTAAAAAATTAGATACTAAAACAAATAGTTTAGGTACTAAATATGTAATTTACCCAATAATTTATTATCTTTAGATACATTTATATATACATATTATATATGATGTGTTAAACCCGACCATTGTCAGAAGGTTTTACGATTTTTTAACTACAATAATTAAATTAATAACAATTATCCCAAAAAAAACTAAATTAATAACATTTTAAAAAGTATTAACAAATGTCGGTTTAACTGGTAAGCAGTTTGATATCGCTTAAGTAAGATCTTGAGTTCGAGTTTTTGTGTCTGTAGAAAACTCTTATTGAGAGACTCATCTACCAAAACTAAATATGTAACGTGGATTGATTCGAATTAACCAAAATAAAACCTTGAAACGAGGAAAAAGAAAAAAAATCTTAAAAAGTTTGGGTGACTCAATAACAAAAAGAATTGTTTGGACGGCGGACTTACAAGACCAAAAAATTGAATAATCGTTTGAATAATAAAATCAACACAATAATTAATACATGAATATATAAAAAAATGAAAATTATACATACAAATATAAAATTTATGAAAATTAATCTATAAGTATTTTAAACAAAATAAATCCTTTATGTATGCTACTCAAATATATAGTAATAGATAATAAAAAAATTAGTACACCACATGGATGAGAAGTTAGTTTTATTGTAAAAACATGAAAAACAATTTGACTTAAAGTAATGATAACCAGGAGAATTGAAATTAATTTTTTTTAATAGTATAACGTGATTATAAGATAATATTTGTTCATAATATTTTTTAATTTTTAATAATATATATACACTTGTAAATATATTTGCTTGAATTCAGAATCTCTAAAAAGAATAACACTCTTTTTATTAAATGTGGCAAACAACTCACTCGGATCGAGTTTAGGTCAGATCATTTTGAGTGGGGTCATTTCGGGTCTAGGTTATATTCAGTTTAATTTAATTATCAGATCGGGTATGGTTCGGATTTAATTCGGGTGTATGGTAAATTGGGTCAGGTCAGGTAGCGAGTCGGGTCAATTTTTGGGTCATATGACTATCGAATTGGTTTTTTTCGGTTTGGATCAACATCAAATCAGTTGATTTTTGGGCCAGGTCAATACTAAATCAATTAGATTTCGGGTCGCGTCAATATCATATCGATTGATTTTTGAATTGGATCATGTCAATTCAAATTGAATTGGTTATAAGTCTTATAAAGTATATGTAGAATTATTAATATATTTTTGTAAAAATATGTCTTTATTTGTTAATCTTATCATTTAGACTTAATTTGGTTATAAGTCTAATAAAGTATTTATAGATTTTCAGATTGCTTTCGATTCTGATTAATTTTCGATCGGGTTAAATTTGATTCGGGTTATTTTCGGTTCGGATTGTTTTCGATTCGGGTCCAATTAGATATGTATCCATATTGGATCAGCTAGATTTTAGATCGAGTATGGTTTAGGTTGGGTATGATTTGAGTTTCAGATCAAATTTGGATTAATATCAATTATTAGATAAGATAAATCAATTTAAATAATCGAATTTAGATCAAATTTGTCAGATCTACTTTTAACTATAGAAGCCACTTGAAAAATTAAATTAGAATTCAGATATTGGAATAATATATAAAGAAATAGAAGTATCAATCCCACCCCTTTGTGAAAAAATATTATTATTTTAGCATTAAGTAATTAATTAAGTTCACATCTAACCAAAAAAGGTCAGCAGTCATTTTATGTGTCACACAATTGATTCCTACAATGAACATAAACAAAATATAAATATAATACAAATGTAATTGTCATTAAGATTTTATTTTGATTTAACCCCCCTTATAATCTTTGATTTGTTTTTCTAAATATATTAAAATGATTTAATATATTTTAATTTTGTACATACAACAAATAATTTTCAGCACGAATAAAGTTACTTCAGTAGTTAAATAAATTGTTGTTATTCCTAAAGCTCTTATATTCGAACACAAAAAATTACAGGATATTCGAGCGTCCATTATTAAATTGTTGAAAGTCTTTAGAATAAATACTACAACTTATAAACATCCTAGACTAATAATAAATTATTTTAATCATCATTCTTTTCTCGAGTACTTTAACCATCGATTTATTTTAAGATAAAATATCTATTGATTGTATGAAAATTATTAATTGATTAATGATCAATGTTTGTTGTTACTTTGACAAAACTTATACCTAAGTTATAACATGATATATTTTGCAATATCACTTATACACATGTGATATATAATACATCATCACTTATGCACGAATAACATATATCACACCATCATTTATGTACACATAACATATATCATATCATTATTTATGTATATAGTGAATTAACTAATAATTTTTATATAATTAAAGATCATCTTATTTTTAAAATAAAATATTAAGATTAAAAAATCTATATAATCGAATAGTAATGTTTTTTTATAATTTATATTAAAAATAAAAATATAATATCAAACTTCACCGTTACGGTCGTCATCATATTTAGACTTTGAATGAACGCGAATGCATGATCCTAGCGCCACGTGGACATCAGTGGAGGCATACGAGAAAGCACCGTAGCGCAACACGTAGCAGATTGATCTCATATCCTCTGTGACGCCGACTACCGAACAATTTTTAAGAGGGGTAGGTGGGTTGGAAATGGAAGGTGAAAATGGAAAGGGGAAGGGAAAGAGGAAGGATTAGAAAGGGAAAACAAAGAATGACCTTTCTTGTGGGTTTATATTAATGAATGAATGAATTAAATTAATTATGTGTACACAATTACTACCATTTTCACAGAATTCACCAAATCAAAATCAGGTATGCAACTGCAAATATTAGTATGCCACATGTTCATGTGATTCCATTAGCTGCAGCAGTTCTTACAGTTTCATAGAAACAAGAATTTCATATTCACTTTTCTCCCTTCCATCTACCCATAACCCATGTCTCCCAGCAAGCTTGATTCCACTGTAATCATTCTTCTCTCCCTCTCTTTAGTATTTTTTTATAATATACGGATCTTACTTGCTTTGTTTACGTGTCCTTTTTTGCTTAGTTATGCACATTTGGTTACTTGGATTGTTGGGTTATTTTTTCCCTTGTTGTTTGGGTTTGTTTGAATTGTTTCTAAGTACTGATCTATGTATATGTGTTTTATTTTTTGAATTCTATCATTTTTTTTATTTGGGTAGAGCTAATTTTTGGTTGTAGTTATGAAACTGACAAACCAGGAATTTTTTGAAATTTTGTGTTGGGTATGTAAAACGCATATCATAGGGTTTATGGAATATCTGAACTACTAATAGTGTATGAGAATTTCATGTTGGATTCTGTAACTATGAAATTCGATTATCTTGATGGAAATTGTAGTTTTTGGATAAGAAAGTTTTGTGTTTTCATTCACTTTGCTGCATTGTACAGTTTCTGCTATAACATTGCCTCTTTAACTGTTTTATTCAAAACACTTTTTGGCTTTTGTTGGCTTCAAATATTTTTCGCCTGTTAATCTGATAATAGGATGTATAGTTCTCTCTAACGGGCGCTTTGTCCGATTCGTTTACTTCACTTGTTGGAATTTTTTCCGCATAGTAGACAACTACTTTTAGAACTGTAATCCTATTGGGGATTACAGTATTTATGGAAGAATCGTCCAAAGATTTCTGTTGGAACTATTTTAATTTTCATATAAGAAGGCACGTGGAGGAATTACTTAGCTATTTACGTCCATCACACTTCCTTTAGTTAAATACGTTAACGGCAGTATTTTTTCCCCTTAAATAATTTCTTTTGGCATTTATGAGGCGGTCTGTTTTGCATTGTTTAATTCAAGAACCTGTCGACACTGCTAAGTTTATGATGCATTGGAAGGTGAAGAATTACGAAAAAGAAGTGAAAGATGAGATCAGATGAAACAACTAATGATTTTCAATCTTCAGAATGCAATAGTTAATCTAGATTTTTCTTGATAGTTGCTTTTGAACTACCTGCCTTTTGCATCTCTACAATTTGTTATAAAGTACAAGCAGATAGTAAAATAAGAAACTAGTTTTCAATTGAAAAATAAATATAGGCTAAACTGTAGTATATAATCAAACAACATGCTTCAACGTAGAGGTAACATAATTATTTTTCTTTTAAATAAAATAAAATCCATGTATTAAACTTTTTTCCTTTTTTATCTTTTTAAAGTATAGATATCATTGTTGTTCTATGTGCTTTTTTGATCAAGAGACAAAAATAACAATAAGCCACGGCTTTATAGAATTTGGTGCAATTATGCCATTTATGAATACTCTTTGTGCGTGTTAACATGTTTAGTCAAAAGGTTGTTTGCGTTAATTAACATGTACTGCCATCACATAAGGTACAGTTGTGATTACTGTTATTAATTGCACACATCAATGGTTTTTACATCTTAAATAGGAATATTTTGTGTTTTTGGTTGTGATCAATGTCGTGTATATCAAATTTGAACAGGCTTCCTTTGGGCATGAGGCAAGTGTTTCATGCTCAAAGCCAGAGAATGGTTCTGCTGATTCAGTTTCTGTTTTCCACTCTGAGAAGGCAGTGGAAGAACTTCTTCAACAAACTCCTGTTTCAGGAATGGATGAACATCTTATGGAGTTCTCAGAAGCTTTGAGAAGTATGTTTATTCCATTCTTAAAAGCATTTATGTTTTTTCAGTTGAAGTATCCCGTGTTTATTTCATTTTTTATGCTTACTATTTTGAACATATTACTAGCTGTTGCAAAGGTATTAAGACGAGCTGCTGAAGGAAAGGCTTCTGCACAAGCTGAGGCTGCTGAATGGAAACGTAGATATGAACTGGAGAGAGCCAGGAATATACAGATGGAGCGTAAAGGTTTTTTAAGATTAAACTGCATGGCTGTTTTTTCAGATGTTTTCTTTTCCTTTTTTTGGCTGTCATAAGTTTCCATATGTTAGGTATTTCATAGATAATCATTGGTAACGAAGGCTTCAAATTGACTTGACAAAAAGCTACGGATTAGGGTTCTTTTGCTTGCTATATGCTTTAAACCTATAACCTAATCTAGCCTGGTTAAAAGATCTTGCTGACCTTGTCAAATGCTTAACTAAATGGTTCATATTCAATTTCATATGCCTGGTTTGAATCTTTACATTTCATATTTCTTCCTTCTAATAGACAGTTTGTTTCTTGATTCTACAATATTTGGTATTTAGTTTCGTAAGTCTTGTAGCCATTAAGAAGGAATAAAAGAACACCTGGAAAGTTGCTAGTCATGTGAAGATTACTCTTCTCTTCATTTTCTTATCTAGTCATTTGTAATTATTCGTAGCAGAGAATTTCATCAGCAATTAAACATTTATCTCTTTTTATTTCTTATTGAAAATTTTCACCATTCTTTATGATTTTTATGCCGTAAAAGCTATGAATATATTGTTAGAATTTTAATGTTGAATATTTAAATGTAAAGCATCTTTCAAGTCAACTCAAGACATAGTGGGTAAATTCTAGTTTAAAGCTGAAAGCATATGGTGTGCTTTACTTAAGTATTGAGCATATCTTCTTCAACCATTTTAGTTCTATCTTCAGTTGTAAGTTGATGGCTGTTAACTTTGGTGGCAGGACTGTCTGTTATTTAATAGAAGCTGATTTTTTTTAAAGAACTTATATATATGCAGCAGAAAAGTTTTCTCTACTTCTATTTTGAATATTATTTTTCCCATTTCAAACTAAGCGTATTCATGTTTTGATTTCTCAAATCTTATAGCTTCGAGATATTTTAACAACAAATCCCATTAATGCCCCTTACCTATTTTGTGCCTTGAGGATTCTGCTACGATACTGGATAAGTGATAGGTTTCAGTAGGTGTTCTGCAATTTAGATTCTATGCAATTAGATGCTTGATAATTAGTTTTGGCAAGCAAGTTGATATTACCAATAACTTGTTTGTTGCGCGGTGGATATCCTCTGACATTGCTTTCAGGAGGAGGCTTCCTTGAATGAAAATTCAAAGAATTAGCCTATTCAACACCTGCTAAGATGGCCTTCAATTTATATTATGTTGGCTAAAGAATAAAGTTTTTAGTCGCAGAATGCTATACTCCGTTTAGACAATGTAATACTCCTCAAAGGCTTCAAGCAAAGCATGATAGGCCATTTATGCTTTTGCTAAAGTATTATCTGTTTTCTATTTTTAGTTTTCAGGGGCAAGTTGCGTGTTAGCCCTGTGGATGCTAATCTTGTACGAGTAGTATTAGAGAAACTTATAATTGCAAACTAATTTTCTGGGAGCGAAATTTTGAAATTATGGTCAGCAGTAGAGGAGGTGCTCTGGGCTGATTTCTTATGTGCAGTCTCACTGGGGTTGATATGTTTTTCTTAATGGTTTGAAGGGATTTTTATAGTAGCATTATTACATTTGACATTATAGTACCATTACCTCCCAAGAATTTGAAGCACTGGCAGGAAACTAGCTATGTTGAAAGCTTGTTTGCTTTTGATCAATTAGATACTCCACAGTCTACTCTGGTTATACCCGTGTCATTCTGAATATTTTCTGAACATTTAATTTGGACTGCCTGTTTGGTCCAAATTTCTTAAATAACCTCTCCACTCTATGATGCTAAGCTAGGCAAAACAAGGGTTTGAAAAGCAACTTTTAGGTATTTTAAATGTTTAAAACGTGTTTCTGGAGATTAAAAGATGAAATTTCAGCTTTAGAATTCTAAAAGAATTACCATGTGGAGCGGGGGGCAAATTTCATATGCTCTTATAGATGAATTGTGTTATATGTTCAATTCAACAGTAACTTTTGCTGCCACTCCAGCCAAAGAGACTTGTTCTATGAAATATTTTGTTAATCTCTGTTTTCATCCTTTACACCTAAAATACTGATCAGAACATGCTTAAGATTCCCCATTGATTTCTCTGCTTTTGACTCTAGAGTTTCCTAGTTCAAATTTGTGGAGCATGTGGTCCAAAAGATATTCTGGATTGATTTGATATATTTTAGAACTTTATTTGGATTTCTTCATTGAGTTTCCTGAACAAAATGGGGTTTCTTATGGCCTTAATTTTGAAAATTATTGTAAGAAGTATTTTCATCTCTGAATATTTGGACCTTCGTTTTCCTTTCTTTTTGTTCTTCTTTTTATTCTGGCTATTCCAGTATCAGGCAACAATAACTTTGAAATGCTACAACGTCGGTGGATTCGGTCTTCTCTAGATAATGCAATGGACATGTTAAGAATTATGCTTCCATGTCTTTTCTTCTGGGAGATTGGGAAAGAACAAAATAAGAGAATATCAGAAGGTATTTGCTTAACTTTCAAAGTACTATCAGTCATCTTGTTTAAAATCACAGCCTATCTAAAAGAATTTGATGTATTTCACTGGATGGATTAGTTATCACAAAAACTTCACAGCATCCTGAAAAAGCTTTCAAAGCAACAAACCTTGTTAAAGTTAATTCAGCTGCAAGAGTTGTGGTATTTGTATGTCTAAAGATTTTATTTGATTCTTATGCAAGTTTTTGGTACAAATAGCTCTAGTAGAGGTGCATAAATGGTTATAGGGAAAGAAGATGGTTTGGGTGTTTAAGAAATGTTCTCATTGAAAAGGAAGTCAAATGAAAGGATGGGTGTTGCACCTATTTATCTCTTTGCAGAGGGTGATGGAATCCAGAGTTATTTGACAAATGAAGCAAATTAGGTGTAAACTATGCACTTAAGCTTGTCAGTGATAATGCTTAAATTCGGATGGCAATACCTCTATGGAGTTTCGGTTGTATATGTTATGTGGTCTTATTCACTTGTATAGAAACTGTCATCATCTGTATTGATCTTCGCAAATTTGTCAATCTGGGAGTTTGTTGGAAATTCTCAACATGGTGGTATGAATTGGATGCTCTAGTTACTTTTAACACACTTGGCTAGGTTTGAGAGCTTCAGAAGTTTTCTCATTTCATCAAAACAGACTCTTCTGTTTCTCATGTCTTATAAGTTACTTTATTTATCAGTAGAAATTCATGTTTAGTCTTAAAAATACAGAGCTTGTGTAAGTTTCTCTTCTCTAAGTAGTTCTTTTTCAATGATTACATCTTCAATTTTTATTGTTTGATATATCCTGCATTCAAAATTCCCCAGTGCCTTCGCAACTATTTTCATGATCTGCCTGTGTAATTGTTTGTTCAAGCACTCTTGTGCCATAGTATTCTTCTGTGGCAACATTCAAGACAAAGAGGGTGAGGTTTAGGTTTCCACTCCATATCAATGATTGCTTTATAGCAATATTTATGAGTTTTCGACATATGGCTATGGTGGCGCTGACTTAAATCTGGGAAGTTCTAAAAACTGTGGAAAGCCTATTTGCTTGGAGTTGAGATTGATCTCCTTATGCCATAGAAAATGTGGAAGGGCATCTGAGAGAAACTTCGTAAACAGCTTAAAGCTTTCCAGCTGATTGATTTGAGAGATCAATACATGGTTAGCAGACCTTAGATGTTGTCCTCATTTCGGTACTCTACTCTTTCAGCATTCAAGAAAAGATGGCTGGAGGCTTAGGTTTCCTCTCTAGATTTTTGTCTGCTTTATAGCCTTAAGCAAAATTGTATAAGTATTGCCGTAGAAGCCATGACTTGAAGTTCTTACAATTGTAGAAGGCCTATTGATATCATTCTCATTTTATGCTTTTGAAATAATTGTATTCCGCATATTTTTCAAATTTGGTAGGCTTTTACTTTTTCTGAAGAGCTCTAAGTTCTAAGTTCTGTTCTTCATGGCAATGATTATGGTTCTCTATTACTGTTGTGCTTCTGTTTGTATTGACCTCTCAAACTCAGTTTAACGTCTCACATGAATACTTTTCCTTCTTTAAAATTTGCTAGCTCGAATGGAAGATCGGTTGTCTGAGGAGAAAAATGGTGATATTGATTGTGGGAGGGTAAAGATATCTGACAGCCAATCGATGCCGCAAAATAAACCAAATGAGCATTCTGAGAAAAGCTGCATGAAGAATGGGATTTGGTCCCATGAGGTTCTTCGTGACAGAGAATCAGATTCAAATTCCAATGCAAATCTTAATAAGTTGATGAATAAGGTACTGGTTCTATATTAAACTCCTACTTCAAGTCAATACCTGATCGTTTATTATGCTTTTTTTATTGTTACATAGCATCTGTCTATTTTGACTTTTTGCTTAAAACTGTACCTTTTATTGATGATTTTCATGTTATTTGTTTTGTTTGCACAAAAATTTTGGGAATATTTTCTTTCATGCTTTTTAATATTTTCGGGAGTCGGTTTTCCCACGTTTCTTCCATGACAAATATGCATTTTCTTAAACTAATTTGAGGCACCTAGCTATTCCTATAGGTAAGGAAATACATGATACTGAATCTGACAAGGAAACATAGCATTTGTCTCTTTTGAAACATTATCCAGTTTACTTATGGTGAAACTCTTACTACTATTAATCCTCAGATCACATAATTAAAAACTATGCATTGTACGACAGGCGTCGTTTAAACTTTCATGGTGGTGCAATGGTGAGAATGGTGATCAGCACAAACATGACATTGTCTCTTTTGAAAAAGGGAATATTACGACAGAAGAACGCAGTAGTAAACAGGTATTGCTTCCTCTATCCTGTTAGGAAGCTTTTGTTTACTGTGATTTTGTAGGTAATTTAGTCTCAATATTTACTGAATAAGCTTCTTCCCCCATGTATATTTTTCATTAGACTAATATGATTTCAATATTGTTCGTTATTAAGCATTCTATCCGTCATCTAGTAACTCCTTGTTTCTTTCCAGATTTCTCTGAAGTGGGAATCTGACCCACAGACTGTGCTTATTTTGACAAAACCAAATTCGGTTTCTGTTCAAATTCTTTGTATACAAATGGTCAGGTGCGAATGTTGAAATTCTCAATGCAAGCTTTCATGAAACTTGCTTTTAGTTATTACACCTTAACCATTTTCTGCAAAAATTTTCAACATATTCGAAATAATGCATGTTTCCACTTGCCTTACCATTTATTGTCCAAAATATTTTCACATCCTGCTTTTTGGTTGTGATATAAGTGGCTACCGAAGCACTATGTCATGTCACTTCTCTGTGCCTTTACTGGAAAGACACATCCATGTCATATGGTTTATTTCTTTTTGATAGGAATTGAAGGCCTCATTAAAAACCCCCTTCTTGATTGTATGAGCTTGTAGAGAAGCTCATCAATCAGCGGAAGAGGGAAAAGAGTGCCTTAAAAATTTTATTAACCATAATAAATTACATAAAATACAGCCAAAAGACTTTCCCAAAATAACCAACAACAAAAAACTACCCAAAGGCATTCTTAGAGTTCATGATGGTTCGGTGGTGGGCTCTTTTCAAGAGGCTGCTGGTCCAGGTCCTCCTGTTTTGTTAGAACTCAAGGCAATTATGAAAGGGTCATCTTTCTTTGACTCGTTTCAGCAGTGGTTTAAGGAAAGGTTAATTGTTGAATCAGACAGTAAATTAGCAGTGGATTGGGTCAAGAACATCGACCGTTGTCCCTATGTTTACTTAGACATTGTGACAGCTATTGTTGGCAAGGTTAGTGGACTGAATAGTAGTATTAGATGGGTTGCTAGGTCAGCCAATGTTGAGGCTGATAGTTTAGCTAAGGCTGGTATTGGATAGATCTCTGTTTTGTTTAGTTGGGTTTCTATTAGGTTTTGGGTTGCTTATTTGTATGATAGATTGTATGGTTGTTTTAAGTCTTTGTAACTTGTGGTTATCAATGAATTATTGAGGCACTCTTTTCCTCCTTCCGCTGATTAAGGAGCACCGTGTGATCCTTTAATCATGAAGGGGTTTTTTAAAGAGGCCTACCTTTCCTATCAAAAAAAAAAAAAAACTACCCAAACAGGCCAAACAGCCCTGTACAATTCGACAACGACCTCTACTGTGTCTGGCCTGTATCCGATCTAGCACCACTACTAAAGACTTACACCCTAACCTCGGCCAGAAAACCAACACAAAACATTCCCACAAAATGCTTGAAGCAATCAACCAATCCCCTCCTTAGCTAACTTGTCAGCTTCCACATTGCAACTCCTAGGAATCAATCTCAAAACAATATCCTTAGCCGAAATAACCTATGGTTTATTTCTAGTATCTGTTAAGTAATGTTGTCCTCCATTTATTGAATTTTGTGTTTTCTGTGGTCTTATATTTAAGTTGGGTGGTTCCATCTATTAATAATTGGTGTTAGGTTAAGACCAGATTCTACATGTTCCTCCTGCCTGACCCCAGGTGAGGTTGATGACCCCTGTAGAGGTTGTCCACGTGTAGGCCTTGTTAGCTAATGAGGGGGAGTTTGAAGTTGTTTTATCCCCGCCACATCTATTAAGTATTGTGCTTTTTGTTGTCTTATATTCAAGTTTGTCCCTTCCATCTATTACTAGTTGGTTTTTTATGGGATAAATAATAGTACCTTTTCTATTTATGTTATGCTATAATACCTTGCGAACTAGGAGATATTTTTGGGTATATGCAGTGTTCTCAAGAGAGAAGCACACTCTAGGCGTTAGAATTGTTATATTGCCCTAGGTTTACTTATGGTTAACAAAGTCCTCACCCTAGGGAGTTAAGGCGCAATATGTATGTGTGTGTGTATAAATAGAAAATGAGCTTAAGATGTATAATAATGGTAATGAACTCTAAAGAGTGGTATACTTTATCCACAAAACAAGCCAACTTTTTGGTTGGCTGAGATGCGTGATTTCCTTATTGCCCCATATATGCTGTTAAATACTTTAATGTTGAGAAGTAGAGAGTTTTTTGCTATGCCCTTTGTTACCATAAAGGAACATTCGATGAAATAAGTTAAAAATAAAAGTAATTAAGATGTATAATTATGATAATAAACTCTATAGAGTGGTCCGATTTATCCACGAAACATGCAAATTGTTTGTTGTCTGATATGCATGATTTCCTTATTGCCTCGTATATGTTGTTAAATACTCGAATGTCGAGAAGTTGAGGGTTTGGTTTTATGCCCTTTGCTACCATAAAAGAACATCTAATGAAAGAAATTAAAAATAAAAACAATTAATGTGCACCTTAATTAGGCAGGCTAATTTTATACCTATTACATTGCAAAAAAGGCACTTTCCTTGTCCACTGCCATGCAAGCCGTAGACATGCCTAGGCACGTGTTGGCAACACTGGTTATATGTGTGTGTGCTTTTAAATCTATTTAAAATCTTTTTGAAAGGGGAAAAAATCATTATAAAATCCTTAAAAGCTTAAAAGGATTTAGGCTTTGCTTGGTATAAAGGATGAAAAGGAGTAAGGATGGAAAATTTGTAGCTTAACTATTAGATTAAGAAATTTTCCATCCTCAGCCATTTCCATCCTTCATAACAAGTTGAACCTTAGTTTCTTGAAATGTTTGTTTCAGGTTATAATATTGTTGAAAATAGGGCTAATGTAAAGTGGAGTAAAAAGAAATTGGGTGATGAAATAAATTAAATGACAAAGGTAAGAAAAAGTGAAAAACTTCACTGTCATATATTCAAGTAACAATAGATTACAAGTTTAATATGTATATATAGTAGGTGAGAACAAGTATTTAATTTAAACTAAACTACTTAATAGTTATCCTTATCGAACTTTCTAAGAGTTAATTTAAACTAAACTACTTAGTAGTTATCTTTTCTAACTTTCTAAGAGTTAGTGTTATATTAAAATACTAATTAATTATCCTTATCTATCGCATAACCTACACTCCCCCTCAAGTTGGGGAGTAAATGTTGAAAAGACCCAACTTGGATATAATCTCATCAAAGGTAATTCTTGGAAGTGCTTTGGTGAGAATATCTGCTAACTGATTCTTCGTTGAAACATAATTGAGTTTCACCGTTCCACCATTCACCTTTTCAGAGATGAAATGTCTGTTAATCTCCACATGCTTCGTTCGTTCATGATGAACTGGATTCTTTGCAATACTTATTGCAGATTTACTGTCACTTTGAAGTTCAAACCATTTGTTGGCACATAACCCCAACTCAGTTAACATTCTTTGAAGCCAAATTCCTTCGCAAATTCCAAGTGCCATTGCTCTAAATTCTGCTTCTGCACTACTTCGAGACATCACCGTCTGTTTTTTACTTCTCCAAGTAACCAGATTTCCCCAAACAAATGAACAATAACCAGTTGTAGATCTTCTATCCGTTAATTCACCTGCCCAGCTTGAATCCGAAAAAATTCTTACTGTTCTATCATCACTTTTTCTAAAAATTAACCCATGTCCTGGTGTCATTTTCAAGTATCTTAGAATTCTATTCACTACCTCTAAATGTTCTTCTCTTGGATCATTCATATATTGACTCACTATACTGACAGGGAACACAATATCAGGTATAGTAAGTGATAAATAAATTAGTTTACCTACTAGCCTTTGGTACTGTTCTTTGTTCACAGGACTTCCCAATTCTTCTCTCCTTAGCTTAAGATTTGCTTCCATGGGTGTTTCTTTCGGCTTACATTCCTTCATTCCAGTTTCTGATAGTAGATCAAGGATATATTTCCTTTGATTGATCACTATTCCTTTTTTTGACCTTGCAACCTCCATGCCTAAAAAATATCGTAAAGTTCCCAAGTCTTTGGTTTCGAACTCCTTCGCCAGTAGCTTTTTTAATCTTTCTATCTCCATACAATCATCACCTGCTAGAATGATATCATCCACATAGACAATCAAAATTGCCTTTTTGTTGTTTGAAGCTGTTTTGGCAAATAAAGTGTGATCCGACTGACATTGCTTGTAACCATCCTGAATAATAAATCTGTCAAACCAGGCTCTTGGAGATTGCTTAAGTCCATACAAGGACTTTGGTAATCTACATGCTTTTCCTGTATTGCTCTTCACACCCGGTGGAATTCGCATATATTCTTCCTCCTCCAAGTTTCCGTTTAGAAATGCGTTTTTGATATCTAACTGATGAAGCACCCAATTCTCATTAACTGCTAATGACAGTAACACTCTCACAGTGTTTAGTTTTGCTACCAGAGCAAACGTTTCATGATAATCAACTCCAAAAGATTGAGTGAATCCTTTTGCCACTAAACTCGCCTTATATCTTTCAATGCTACCATCAGCTTTATATTTTACCGTGAATACCCATTTGTAGCCGACTGGTTTTTTATCTTTCGGAAGATCAACTATAATCCAAGTATTGTTATTTTCCAGTGCTTTTAATTCCTCTTCTACTGCCTTTTTCCACTTGGGATCTTTCAATGCTTCTTCCACCGTATCTGGAATAGTAATGCTATCTACACTTGCTGAAAAGTTCTTAAAACAAGACATTAGCTTTCCGTATGCAACAAATCTCTCAATTGGATAATTTCTGCATTTTCTTACTCCTTTCCTTTGAGCAATCGACAAGTCATTATCATCAATTAAAGCATTTAATTCAGTGGATTCATTCTCCAAAGGATTCTCATTCGGTTTCGGTTCATGACAGTGTCCATGCTGTGTGGGAGACTCGGAATTAGGTTCAGGGATTGATTTAGAAATTGGTTTTTGTCGTCTCTTGTAAATCTGCAACTCGGATTGAGGTATTTGAGGCGAAGTGATATGCTGATCATGCCGAGGTAAATGTGTTTCGGTGGACTGGTTTGGCAAGGATACGTTTTCTGGGTTCGATAGTGTTGTTTGGTCTGGCTGTAGCGATTTTGTAGGCTTATTTGATTGGTTTAACTGGTTTGACGGTGTTGGTTGATCAAAAAGAGCTGGTTGCAAATCAAGTGACAATTGTTGTGAGTCAACAAACTGATATTCATTATATGACTCCCCTGAATAGCAGTTTTAAGGAAAAAATGTATTTTTTCAAGGAAAGTAACGTCCATAGTAATAAAGAATTTCTTTGTACGAGGATAATAACACCGAAAGCCCTTTTGAGTCGATGAATAACCCAGAAACACACACCGAAATGATCAAGGATCTAATTTGGACCTGAAAGGAACATTGTTGTGAAAGAACACAGTACAACCAAAAACTCTAAGGGGTAACAATGAAGTCATCGGTTTAAAATTGGGAAAAAACTGAAGAAAAACATCTCTCGGACACTTAAATTGTAACGGTTTACTAGGGAGACGGTTAATCAAATAAGTGGCAGTTAAAAGGACTTCCCCAAAAATAGTTAGGAACATTTGTGGAAAAAAGTAGATACCGAGTAACCTCAAGAAGATGTCTGTTTTTCCGCTCAACAATCCCATTTTGTTGAAGAGAATTGACACACGAAGTAAGATGAACAATCCCGGTTTCCTGAAAGAAAGAACCCAAAACATTGGCAAAATACTCACTACCATTGTCAGAATGAAACATTTGGATTGAATACTGAAACTGGGTTTCAACCATCTTATGGAACCGTTTAAATATTTCACAAGCTTCAGATTTGGTTTTCATGAGAAAAGTTCATGTAGTACGAGTGTGATCATCAATAAATGAAATAAACCACCGAAACCAATGTAAAGATGCAACCCGAGATGGTCCCCAAATATCACTATGGATCATGGTAAATGGTTTGGACGGTTTATATGGAGAAGTTAGATAAACACTCTTAGTTTGTTTAGCAAGTGGACAAATATCACAAGAAAAAGATTTCGGACTTTTATTGACAAACAAATGTAGAAACAATTTTGCAAGATAAAAGAAACTGGGATATCCTAAACGAAAATGCAATAACATAACATCGGTTGAAGGTTCAAGTAAAGGAAATTGTTGTATAACATTGAAGGAAGTAGATGGGTGGGAAAATAAAATTGCTGGAAGTAGGTAAAGACCCCCACAAAGCCTAGCACTGCCAATCACTTTCCCTGAGCTGGAATCCTGAAATTCACAAAAATCAGAGTTAAATTTCGTGGTACAACATAAATCGGCAGACAACTTGCTAATGGAGATAAGATTGCAAGTGAGATTGGGAACATAAAGAACATGAGTTAACAAAATATCCTGATTTATTCGAATAGATCCATGACCGTGAACACCAGATAGAAAACCATAAGTTGTTTGAATATGAGAGATAGACGAGTCGGCATGAAAAGTGTGAAAGAGTCGAAGATCACCTGTCATATGATCACTTGCACCAGAATCCACAATCCAAGTAGGAGTGGTGGATGTATTAGCCAAAGTAGCAGAAGGAATTCTACCTGCAGGTACTGATTGGGGATGAGTGTGCTTCTGACTAAAAACTGTTGCAACTCTTCCATTTGTTTTTTAGTAAAGGAACTTCCTTGTAATTCAGTATTCACAACACAGTTTCCTTGAGTATCACGTTGTTGATGCTGTTTTGAAAACTTCCCATCAGGCTTGCCATGTAATTTCCAACAGGAATCTCACATATGGCCAACCTTCTTACAGTAGTCACACCAAGGTCTCCCTTTCTTTGGCCGAGTAGTAGTTTGAGAGTGAGTGAGCAATGCAGACCCTTCAGCGGGCTGCAAAACAAGAAGCATAACGGTACGTCGACTTTCTTCGCGTCGTATTGCAGAAAATATTTCCCGGATTGAAGGAAGAGGTTTTAGTCCTAATACTCGTCCTCGGACTTCATCAAGATCTCGATGCAAACCGGACAAAAACTGGAATATCCGGCGCTGTTCAACAATCTTCTTGAATAGAGCGGCATCTTCTACACACCTCCATTCATGGGATTCAAACAAATCAAGTTGTTGCCATAGGCGCGACATTCGAGTAAAATACTGAGTCACGGTCATGTTGTCTTGTTTGAGATTGGCAAGTTGACACTCGATCCCAAATAAAGCAGCATAATTTTCCAGATTCGAATACATCGCCTTTGCAGCACTCCAAATTTCAGCCGCTGTTTCATACAGCAGAAAGTTTTCCCCCACAGCAGGAATCATGGAATTGATGAGTCATGACATAATCATGGTATTCTCACTTAGCCAGGTTGAATATTCAGGATCCGTCACAGCGGGAATTGGTGTGGTCTCCAAAAGATATTGTTGTTTGCGCCGACCGGTTATATAAAGGCGAACAGATTGGGGCCAAGCGATATAATTCTCACCATTCAATCGGTGACAGGTGATAGAGGTTGAAGAAACATCAGAAAGGTTTGAATGGGGCGAATTAACGAGGAATTCCGAAGTGACCTCCGATGAAGAAGTGGCGGAATTCATGATTGACTACTATATTTAGGGTAAAAAGAAAAAAATAGGCTAGATTTAGGTGAAGGATCGATCACCTAACTGATACCATGTTGAAAATAGGGCTAATGTAAAGTGGAGTAAAAAGGAATTGGGTGATGAAATAAATTAAATGACAAAGGTAAGAAAAAGTGAAAAACTTCACTGTCGTAGATTCAAGTAACAATAGATTACAAGTTTAATATGTATATATAGTAGGTGAGAACAAGTATTTAATTTAAACTAAACTACTTAATAGTTATCCTTATCTAACTTTCTAAGAGTTGATTTAAGCTAAACTACTTAGTAGTTATCTTTATCTAACTTTCTAAGAGTTAGTGTTATATTAAAATACTAATTAATTATCCTTATCTATCGCATAACCTACAAATATGCTTGCTGAAATTGCTTTCAACTCTATTTGAGAAATAATTTTTTTCAAAGTCTCAGTTCCATATCCAACAAAAAAGTGTGAAGTCATCTATTATTGTTATTGGAAACGACACATTGTTTAATATACAACAACTAGAGAGTAGAAAATGAGAGGGTCCCTAACTTGGTGCGTGTGTTTTTGTGAATAAATTTCTTCTTTTAATTTTCATATTAAAGGTGCTGAGTATTTTTTAAACTCAAGGAACCAAAGCTTTTTCTAGTTTGGACACAAGAAAGCATTTGGTCAGGTTGAGGTGAATGTGATATGAGTTACTTTAAGATAAAGTTTCAGATAACTGAGTATTGTAATTGTTATATTCTTAGGGCAGTCGACTTTGCCTCAATTGTTGGCTATTTTTAGTTATGTGGGCTTGCAATAACTTTTTTGATGTATATTAGCTGGCTATTATATTTATACTGATGCATGCCGCATGACTTAAAGCAACCATCACATTTTTCTTCTATTACAATTTTCATTTTGTCATTCTCATTCATCTTTATTCCAGATGGTTGAAAGAGAAGAAAAAGTTGAATGTTTATGTTGAACCACGTGTGAGGGCTGAACTTCTAGCGGAGTCATCCAACTTCAATCATGTACAAACATGGAAAGATGGTGAGAAGAAAAAAATTATTTTACCTCTTATCCTGTCTCTGCCAAATGATTTGTATTTGTTTTTCTCTATGATGCTTTTAATGTTTTTGTTCTCAGTTTCAATTTTTGTCTAAAGAGTAATGGATTTTTTGCCTAATTTACTAACTGATAGTTTTCCCCATTAAAGTTATGAACTAAAAAGAAATAATTGAAATGATAAATTTGTGAAATCAGTTAAACTTTTCAATTATTACTGACTTGGTTATATTAAAAGGTTTTACGATGATTCTTTCGAAAGACTAAAAAATGAAGTTTTCTTGTGTCATACTCATGTATATGGTTTCCAGAACTAATGATTTATGAGACATTATAAATGCATAAAGTTGAAGAGAAATGATCAAAAACGTTGTATTCATGCACTTTATTTGGTAGCTCTTTTAAGAGTTTTCTTTAATCAAAGTTCATCCAAGTGAAACGTTGAAGCTGAAACGAGGACTTATTGCGATGTTTAGGTCATAATTAGAAGCTATAATCATGCTTAAAGCATTTGGACATGGATCATTTTTTTTCTTTTATGGTTATAATTTCCTTCCTCGTGTTCTGTTGCCATATATCAGTAATATGAACTTTCATATATGTAACCTTGGGTAAAGTTTGTTAAGGAACTAAATTAAATTCGGTTCGTCTAGTTTCTGAATAATTAAATCAGGTGGCTCTGTTTTATTGTTATTAGTGGTGTTGTAATTGTTATTACTAGTATTGTTATAAGTTCAGTGTATTTTTCAGTTCTGATGATTTCTTGTTTGCCCTTTAGACAGTGAAATTACGCACCTCCACATGAAAGTCGATCTGGTGATAACTCTTGGTGGTGATGGAACTGTTCTATGGGTATGTCGTTTCAGTTACATTCAGCCCGTATCTTGTGAATCATAAAAAAACCCTTTGGGAATATCAAATTCTCACTTTGGTTCATGCAATCAATAATTCAAACATATGAATTTTACATTTAGTTTTTTCTACTATATTTTGCAGGCTGCATCAATGTTCAAGGGACCTGTTCCTCCAATTGTTCCATTTTCATTAGGTTCTTTGGGCTTTATGACTCCTTTTCGTATCCTTAAAACTTTTCAAAATATTTCTTTAACGAAAGATGAATGAATTGATGATCTACCATGATTGTTTGAACATTGTTCTTTGATTTTAGTTAAGAATGCTTATTAACTCATATATCGGAACTAAAAAGGCAATTCTTTGACTTGATCTAGATAGTGAACATTTCAAGGAATGCCTTGATTCAGTCCTGAGGGGACCCATCAGTATAACATTAAGACACCGCTTGCTGTGCCGTGTTGTTAGAGATGCAGCTAAAAATGAGTACGAAACAGAAGAACCTTTCCTTGTTCTGAATGAGGTTACAATCGACCGTGGAATTTCGTCATACCTCACGAATCTGGAATGCTATTGCGACAATTCCTTCGTCACATGCGTGCAAGGAGATGGTTTAATTTTATCGACGACATCTGGTAGCACTGCATATTCATTGGCAGCTGGAGGATCAATGGTCCACCCACAGGTACATTCTGATATCATCATAGCCGCCATTAAATTTGGAAACACCATGCTTTCCAAAATATAATATGCGATGTCGGAATTTTGATGGAAGCCTAATTATATTCAAACAAAAGAAGAGAGTATACTAGTAAAAGTATCCTTTTATATGGGTTGTTGCATTGTGAGGAATCAATATCGGCTTACTTATTTATCATCTTTTACAAATGACTAGTAATAACTTTTCCATGCTTGTTTATATTTTCTTGATGCACAGTGATGTAAAACATGGATTTTGTTGTAGGTCGCCATTTGTTTGTGCCTAGTTTCTGAAAATAATCATATGCCCATATAACTTAAAAATATATTGGCGGTGTATGCTCCGACATTGCAGGTCCCTGGCATTTTGTTCACACCAATTTGTCCACATTCATTATCCTTCCGACCCCTGATACTTCCAGAGCACGTAACTGTCCGAATAATGGTGCCATTCAATAGCAGAAGTCCGGCTTGGGCATCATTCGATGGAAAGGACCGGAAACTGTTGGCGGCTGGGGATGCTCTTTTGTGCAGCATGGCACCTTGGCCAGTTCCTACAGCATGTCAAGTTGATTCTACTAATGACTTTCTACGCAGCATCCAGGACGGCCTGCACTGGAACCTGAGAAAGGCGCAGTCGTTCGATGGGCCTCGGGATACATAAGGTAATCTCCCAATCTTTTAAGCATGTGTAGATGGAATCTAACATAGACATGCCATATGTTGCCAGTCATTGTAGGTAGGGGAAATGTTTCCCCTGTAGGGAGGAGGCATTGTTTTTGTGGTGCTGCCGATGATACAACCAAAATTGTAGTCCAACACTAGAGAGTATCACTGTATGTTTTAAATGTGATCAAAAGAGGAATTTCGCTTTCAAAATTTGTCAAAATAGTTTGGAAATGTTTAAATTAGGCGAATTGGTCCATCTCAAAAAAGGTTAGTTCCTGTGAATTTATAAAAAAAAAATGAGCAACTAAGGACAATTAAATTATTAATCGCTGTTTTACCATTTCCCGGAAATTTTGCATAATTTGACTGATATAATAACTTATTGGTATAATGCTAAAATTAACCCTCAACATTTACTACAATGATTATTTCGGCCTCAATTATTTTTTGAGCATTTAAGCTTCTAACATTTTATTTCAAGAGAAAGTGTTTCTTAACATTTGGATGAATAATCATTTTGGCTCTTATTTTCTTCGTAACATTTTTGCCAACCCATATGATCATTTGCAGGGGTGAATTTTTATTTTTTTTGTAAAGGGTATAAAACGAAATAATAAATTTTTAAAAAGATTGTAGTGTAGTTTTCACATTAGTCAAGTTGAAACTATATGATTTCTTAAGGACTGTAAAGCAAATTTTCCATTTTACCGACCATTCTGCTTTCGTATATCTATTGTGCCAGTGTGTGTCGCATGATTTCATTTATAAGGAACACATTGCAGCATTCGATTTTTCCAGGCTGAAAAAAACAAAGAGAAATAATAAGAATGAATTCTAAAGATGAATTTATGTCACTCGTGTCTGGTACGAACCTGCTTGCGAACAGTTGCATTTAAAAAGACTCAAATTCTTTCGATGCCGCAGGCAGTATGGTTTCCGGCGAACAAACAAGTTCCTAACCGACGTGGAGCTCGTCGTTTATACGTCGAGAGGACCAACGAATCCCCTTTCAATCTCCTGACGTGTTCCATGTAGAGCACATGTGGAGCTTGGCACGGATCCTTTGTGACCGGCCTGGTGTTGAACATGAACAATGGGGGCGGACCCTTTTTCCAGGGCTTGAATGTCTCGAGGGGTTTCTTCAGAACGCTCCGAGGGATGATGGATTCGTATATGTGAGCCGAGTAACCCCAGGAGATGGAGATGGACCGGTTCCTGCGCTTGTTGTAGCATAAGGTTTGCTGTACTAGCCGTGATTGATCCACTTTGGCTGCTTGCATGAGGTGTTTGACCGCGTTGGTTCTGTTCTTGTTGGGGAAGATTGGGGTTATGTTGCCGATATGTCACCCAGAAGATCAATCTGCACTTTATCATATCACAGTAAAAAATTAGACTTATTAGGATTCGATACATGTTATTGATGCGACGTTTATATGTATTTAATTGTTATATCATAATATATCTCAAGTGCAATGTTACATATTACATTATCACTTTAATTGACATGATACATGTCATGTCATTATCATAAGTAATATGATACATATTATGTCATCACATGGATGATATAACATATTTCAACCATTAAATTTATGTAAAAATGTCACATCAATAATACGTATTGATCGAGAATCAATTAACGGTTTTCATTCAACATGAGTTATTTTAACTAAAAATTAAAATATTAGGGACTAAAATGCTTAAAAGAAAATTTTTCTTGCAATAAAATATTTGGATTAAAAAATTTAAAAGAATAAAAATCAAATTAAAATGTTTAAAAGAAAATTTTTGTCTTACAATAAATATTTAAATTAAAACATTTAAAAGAAAAAAATCAAAGCGATTATTTTTATTAAATGTTAGGGTATAATGTTACTTTATAAGATACTCTAAAATTGGATCAAGTAACAGAAGTGTAATTACCAGATGAACACCAGGTTCAATAGTAGGAGAAATCCCCAGGTCAAATAAACAAGAGGATGCCAAATGGTTACTGGTATGGCTGAATGGGTATCTTTCCAGGCAATCATTCATCAATGGGGCAAGTTGTTGCACCAGCGAATAGCTCAGAGCATATCCGGAACCACCGTACGCCATGTCGTATGCGAAAAGGAAGTTTGATATCGCCGACTCCGAACACATCCCTATATAATAATGCTTGGTATGATCATATTTCGCCAACGTCTCGACTAAATTCTCCAGAAAAAAGACGGTGTCATCATCGACCATGACGTACCACCTCACCCCCTGGTTATCCCCAAGGTTAAACGAGTCGAGAACGGATCGAAAAATCTGAGCCTCGATCGGATTCGCGAGTTTCCGGTACACTGGCAGCTTCGTGGCATCCGAATTGATGTTATACGGTGGAGACGTACGTTTTAGGCCAAGGGAGGAACTGTTTAGGTAGACGTGAGTCCATGAAGATGTTCCCCCATGTTTTGTTCGGTCTCCACCAGGAATCGGTGTAGGGTCTTCTCGTCGGCCATGTTTTAGTGCAGCCAACGAGAACGAACTTAATGTGACTAAGGTCGGTCGGATAATACAAATGGATACTTTTGGTGCTTCTTGTTACTTGAAAATTCCTCTCCGTACCAGTATTGTCTTCACTTGGATCGTCGCATTACGTCTTGTGATGTATATTTTATGTCAAAGTGTGCTAATGTGGGTTACAGATGCCAAATCAATTATCCTAACATGATATATCGGATTGTCATTACTCGATGATGGTCGTTGACGGTTAAATGATCATTTTATTATAAAGCGATAACGTTTAAAATGTAATATTTGGGAACACAAGATACTGGAAAAGGGTTAACAAAACAAGGGCCTAACTTTTAAATCCACCGAGTTATATTTGATCGTCATCTCCTTACAATTTTATAAATCCTTATCTTTAACATAAAATTTTGCATCTATCCTACTTTTGTTGTAATTTATTAATTTTATGCTTTGATTATTGATTTTTTAGGGATGTATGTTCGATCGAATTGAGTCAAAAAATTTGAGTTATTTGATTTTATGATTCATATTTTATAACTCGATTTTTATTTAATTTTTTTTGATTCGAGTCAAGTTGAGTTATTCAATTTTAAGTTTAAATTTAATTATAATTATTTATAATATTATCGTACAATTTAATTCTAATTTAAATGATCTTTTATAATTATATATAAATTTTTAGGTATAATTTTTACAAGGGTAAAATACTAATGAACCTATTTTTGATATAACAAATTAAAGGGGCAAAATATTTTTGGATTTAATTGAATTTATTAAAAGTTTTCAAAAATAATTCAAAATTTATTATACATGAATTTGAACACAAAACATTTTTATGGCAAAGTAGTATCGATACTATTCTTACAGTATCGATACCATATGAATAGTACTGATACTCTCATGGTAGTATCGATATTATCTTGTGATTTCAAACGTGTTCAAATTATAGAAGCACTTTTGGTATCGATACTCAGATGAGTATCGATACTACTGTGTAAACTCTAGTATTGATACTTCGAGTCCAACGGTCGAAAAACGACTAGTTTTTTATTAGTGCAGTATCAATACTCCAAGCCAAACTATCGATACTTTCTGTTCTGGGTAGTTTTATTTTGCTGCAATTAAGTCTCCAACGACTTCAAAACATTTCCAACGGCTAGAAATAATCACAAACACATTCCAACATATAAAATGAAGATCAAATCACTTGAAGAAGATTACACAACACCTATCCAAACATTAATTATCAAGAGAAAAGCTTTCATTATTTATTCTTCATTTTCTTTTGTAAATAGTGTGCCCATCATGACTTAACCCATGAACAAGTCTTTCTTTGTACTTTTGGCCCCAAAATACTCTTAACTTTTATGATTTAATCCTTTTCATTTTGACATCCCAACATAAAATTCTTGGCTTTGATCCTACTGAAAACTCAAAAATCTGCATACAGGTCATTTATACATTTGAGTAATACCAGGAGAAGCATTCATTTCATTTCCTTCACTGCCAAAACCACTAATTTCCGGGGGCCAAAAATGGCCAGTAATTGCTCGACTAGACCGCGGCCTGCAGCAAATCAGCTTGTCTCCCGACGTCTCTCTTCAGCTCCCGGAGCGCATTTCTCACTGTCGAAGCTCACTCCACCGAGTTCATCGACCGGGGCTTGCCACCACCATTGCCTTCGACCAGCTTTCCTTACTTCATCGAGTGCTCCCCATTCCGTTTTTCAACTTCCAACATCTCAACAAGCTGTGCTAGATGCACATTCAGCTCATGGATGTTAGCGTCCCGATGAGCTTCGATAACGTCACAATGTGCGTTAATATTAAATCGAAGGGTTCGGAGTGATAAACCGATGGACGATGGACACGAGGTGAGGGTGGCCAAATGAGAAGACCTTGCCTGCAGCGGAGAAGACTATGATTGCAACATCGACACCGCAAAGCGTGCAAAGTTCACTAACCTTTTTAAAAAGCCCGGCACGACGTTTAGAAAAGGTCACCTGCAGATTACTCTTCTTCACTATCTCTACATTTTGATCTTCCAAGGCAACCTCGGATCGAGCTGTTCTTCACCATTGTTGATGAGCATTAATATGAGCCTTAAGCTTTAACAGTTTCAGAGCTTTTATTATCATAATCAGCCTTTCATAATATCACTAGAAAGCCCTTTTGTCTGTTAGATTATAAAAGACCAGGGTAAACTACACATTTAGTACTTCAACTATAAGTTTTGATTCATTTAGTACATAATCTTTTAATTATTTCAATATCATATCTAATGTTTAGTTTTTGTTTCATTTTAGTACTCATCGTTAAAAACTTAACGCGTTTAGCACCTAAACTATTGGTTTTGGTCCATTTTTATACTAAACTTAAAAAAAAAATCAAAACTTAACGTCGAATTTTGAACGGCTACTAAAATGAAAAAAAACTAAACTTTAGATATGATTTTGAAAAAAATTAAAAGTTTAAGTAAAAACAGACAAAACTAATAATTTAAGTATTAAACACGTAATTTAACATAAAATGAATTTTAGGAGACTAAATATGAACAATGTCCATTAACTAATGGGGCCAAAGGCCAAAGCCCCCTTCTACTCTGTAGTTAAAATTCGAATTAAGTTAAATATATGATATTTATAATATTATCAAGCGTTTGGATCAACCAACACATGTATGACTCACGAACTGCGTGTGTCCACGATGAACCGAGTGTTCGACATATAGGATAGTAGGATCATCTACGATGAACGTTTCAGTTCCTCTTAGTGAAGGCTACACAACAGCAAGATTCCTTCACCATGCTGCTTCTGTTGTTGTTTCTTCAAACTTGGCATGTTACTGATGTCTACAAGGGGTGGACGTCTGATTGGGATGAGTCCGGCGGTGCATTGATCGTCATCTTTTAACCGACACGAGTACCCTTCTCTGTTTCACTTTGTGCTTCTCGATTGATTGGTGAAGCAACTCGGGTCCTCGCCGTTTTTCGCTCTCTTTCCTGCCTAAATCTCTCGACCTCTTGGCGAAGAACATATACTTGTGCCTGTGACTCGTTAGCCTCGGCTTCCGACGAGAGAGCTCTCTGTCTCCATTCTTTAACCTAATGAAAGCAAACCAACATGTTAAGCAACTAGAAATGATGTGCGATTGTTTCAATACTTCTTAAGTGGCTTGCCAAAATCTTACAGCAGATTGCAGGGATCGAATCCGATAATCCAAATCGAGTGCTCGATCTTCCCAGAAATCACGAGACGCGTGCAATTCTTCCATCTCATCCCTTACCAGCACCAACATGCCTTGCATCTGTGACCATTGCTCGGTCTCGGCACGAATTTGATCCACAACCCTCTGCACTATTGCCTTGCAATGCCCTGAACACACTCGTGCCTCATGGGGCATTTTCTCCTGCAAAAAAACAAGTTATAATACAAAAATGGAACTAATATGATTGTTGTTAAAGATTGATGATGATTAAAGGCACTACTTTGCATGATTGTTGTAAAGAAGATGACGATAAATCTGAATATTCCTCTAACAAAAACCCCTTCGACAATCCATCCATCTTTGTTCTCAAATTCTCCACCTGCAAATCTGAATAGTTTCGTACATTGCGGTTATGATCATCGTCTTCGCTGATGGTTTTGATAGACATGCTCGCTTCGGCCATCTGTCGAATCTCTTTCACGCATTGTTCTTCATCGGATATTCTTTTAAACCCAGATTTTTCTAGCTGTTTCTGGAGTGAAGATAGTTTTTTATCGAAGTTACTGAAAATTTTTACCTCTATGTTTTTAACACCTGATCTCTTTTGTAGATTCTCTATTTTCTCGACCAATTCATTGATCTGCTCGTCCAGTAATGCCATGTTTACATTCTTCCCTTCGCAGATGTTCTTTCTTCCCTGTAAACCAAATGCCAAAACCAAAGTCAAAAAAGAAATATTTTCCCGAGAACCAAACAGAAAAGGAAGGGAGAAGAAGAAACCGACGGAAAGTAAAATTTGAGCAGCGGATTTCAATGTCCTCTCCATATGCACCCTTCTTCTCTCCATTTTCTTAACGGCGATCTTCCTTTCCATCCTCAACAAGTTACACTCGGCTCTCAACATCTCAGCTTGGAACCTCCATTTCTCTTCTTCAACAAAGGCTACGCTGCAGCTGCGGTTTTCTCTCTCCTCCTCCTCCGCCACCCTCCCTCTTCTCATCTCGTCGTCACTCTCCCTCGGGCTCACCAACACCACCGGAACACTCCCACTTGTAAAAGACCCTCCTCGATAAAACAAGCTCTCCAGAACCATCCCTTTTCTCTCTTTACCGGGAAGTTCCGAAGGACTCGCCTTGGGCGCTTTCCTTCGAGGCCGCCGTGGCAAATGGATGATTCTCGGACTTGGCTGCGCCGGTGGGTATTGCCATTTAGCTCTCCTTGTTATAGTTGTCCCCATCGACACCCTCTCCATGCCAAAAAAAAAAAACTCTCTTTGCTTTCGTTTCGAAAAGGCTTGATTTTTGAAAATTTAAGAGCTTCTCTATAATTGGGTACTCGGTTTCAGTTGCAGACAGTGGGAATTCTGTTAATATTTTGCAAACACAGATGCACTGTTCTTCTTCAAGTTGTCGGAAAAAAATGAATAAATAAATAAATATAGAGGTTGTTTTGTCCTGTTTAGGGTTCTGATTTTACATTTGATAAGATGGCAGTGTGGTTGGAGAGATTGTATCCGGAAAGACAGATTAATATATTATTAATATACCGCGTTATCGGATACATTATAATATATTTATAATATTTGATTTAAAGCTATCGAAAATGTTGAATAATATAATGTACTAGGTCTAAATCATGAAGAAATATTAAAAAATTGATAACCAATAAACTTAGCTTGTCGGTTTGTGTCGATACAAATGAAAAATAGATTGCTCCATAGCAATATTATAGGTACAAATATGACAAAACCGGTCCCAAAATGACAAAACCGATAAAACGCTACCGGATATGTGTCGAGTGTTGATAATTTAATATAAGTATCGAAACTTTCTGAATTTAAAAGAGAAGAAGTTATAGTGCCTATAAAGTGTCGATACTTTAAAAAAATATATCGATCCACAACAATATAACAGATAAAAATATGATAAAATTGATCTCAAAAATGACAAAACAGGAAAAAGTTACTGGATATATTGAAAGTGTCGATAATTTAATATTAGTATCGACACTTTCTGAATTTAAAAGAGAAGAAGTTATAGCGCCTAAAAAGTGTCGATACTTTATGAAAATATATCGATCCTTACCAATATAACAGGTAAAAATATGATAAAACAGGTCCTAAAAATGACAAAACATGAAAAAATTACCGGATATGTTAAAAGTGTCGATAATTTAATATAAGTATCGATACTTTCTGAATTTAAAAGAGAAAAAGTTATTGCGCTTAAAAAGTGTCGACACTTTATGAAAATGTATCGATCCATAACAATATAACAGGTAAAAATATAATAAAACATGTCTCAAAATTGATAAAACCAGTAAAACGTTACCGGATATATTGAAAGTGTCGATAATTTAATATAGGTATCGAAACTTTCTGAATTTAAAAGAGAATAAGTTATAGCGCCTATAAAGTGTCGATACTTTAAAAAAATATCGATCCACAACAATATAACAGGTAAAAATATGATAAAACATGTCCCAAAATTGACAAAACCAGTAAAACGATACCGAATATGTTGAAAGTGTCGATAATTTAATATAAGTATCGACACTTTATGAAATTAAACTAAAAAGTCGACACTTTATGAAAATGTATCGATCCATAACATATAACAAGTAAAAATATGATAAAACTGATCTCAAAATGACAAAACCGGAAAAAGTTACCGGATATATTGAAAGTATCGATAATTTAATATTAGTATCGACACTTTATGAATTTAAAAGAAAAGAAGTTATAGCGCTTAAAAAGTGTCGACACTTTATTAAAATGTATTGATCCTTACCAATATAACAGGTCAACATATACCGATTAATTATAAAACAGATCAACATAAAGTATCGACACTTTTTAAGTTTATGCCGATACTTTTTTCCAAAAGAAAGCACAAACAGGTTCACGCATAAAGTGTCAATACATTTAAAATTGTATCGATCACAAAAACATCGAAACCGATAATTATAATGTAATAGGTCAATTTACAATGTAACCGATTTAAATTTATCGATTTTATAAGAAAATAGGTCAGAATAAAGTATCTACACTTGTGTAATTTGTGTCGATACATTTTGTCCATATGAATGCCCAACGAGGTGAATAACGATACATTTAAAATTGTATCGATCCCAAAAACATAGAAACGAAAATTACAATGTTATAGGTAAATTTACAATGTACCCGGTATAAATATATCGATTTTATGAGAAAATAGGTCTAAATAATGTATCAACACCTTTATAGTTTGTGTCGATACTTTTTTCCAGAAAGAATTAGGAATGCCCAACGAGGTGCAAGCATAAAGTGTCGATACATTTAAAATTGTATCGATCCAAAAAACAACGAAACCAATAATTATAATGCAATAGGTAAATTTGCAATGCTACTGGTATAAATATACTGGTTAAATGCATATTTTATATAAAGCGTTACCTATTACATTATATAGTTCTACCTAATATGTTATTGTACTTGATAATATTTCCGGTTAAATGATATAACATAACCGGTCTAAATTTTAACCGGTCAATTTTTTAACCGATCACGCCATTTTTTAGGCGTCGCACAGTAGAATCACCCACAATGTGGTGTGTGGATATGGAAGCCAAGTATTACTGTGAAATTTTTGGAATTGTTTAACAGAAATTTTGGTACCTTTGTTTTAATGGAATTTGATGGAAGGAGTAACTTTTGTTTGCTGGAAAATATAGGTGGGGTATGATGAAGAATTGATTATGCATTAGGTGGGGGTAGATTTAGCAAAACAATCAAATTAAAAATTGTTGCCATTTTCAAAATTGAAATTGCAAGGGTAAGTTAGAGATTTGTGTGTTTTAAGGCTGTTTTAGGTCATGGTAATAATGGCATGGAATTTAGGAAAGAGACAAGTATGAAAAACCTCAATCCAAGAAAAAAAGAGAGAGATAATTGTATTAAATATATATTTGTATGTTAACGGGTTGGTTCAAATAGTAATCAGTTTGATATCGCATAAATAAAATATTGGGTTTAAGTCCTTATGTTATTGATACAACAATAAATTTAAATTGTATTATTTTAATTATTGTGAATGTTTTATTTATTTATTTATTTATTTTAGTATTAGTTTAAATTTTAATTTATATATTATTTATTTAATTAGGGGAATGATTGTATATTATATCCGTTTATTCATAACGTTAAGTTATAGATACTAAATCGTATCTGGTCGTATTTAGCGATGATGGATTCAGTTACATAGCGAGATATGAAGGATATTGTTACCTTGAACTTCCCCTTATTTCTGCACTGATTGAGAAGTTGAGACTAGAGACACAAACATCATATCTTCCGTGTAAGGAGTGCACTATTACGCTGGAGGATATTTTCATATATCTGGGGCTTCCGGTAGATGGGGCTATTACTTTTGGTGTGGCGGATGGTGATTGACATTCTTTGTGCTAGGAGTATCTTGGAGGTATCCCGCATACTTTCAATGGTGGTTGAATACCATTAGATGGTTGACTACAAATTTTAAAAATTTGAGTGAAGATTGTTCCGATGAACAAACAAAAAGATTTGCTCGGGTTTGCATATTATAACTCATAGGAGGGATCTTGATGCCTGAAAAATCTCGCAATCAAGTTCATTGTATGTGGTTGTGTCACATCGATGATTTTTATGTTATCAGTTCACTCAGTTGGGGCTCAACAATTTTGGTATCTCTGTATAGAGAAATGTGTCGGGTAACTGATTATCAAAAAATTACTATCGGTAGATGTCTCATTCTTCTCCAATCTTGGGTGTGGTATCGCATGCCTTTATTTTGTCCGATCGTGAATAACTCGTTGGTCATCCCGTTATTGTTAAGGTAATTTCAATACTGAGTTCGTATATAAATAATTTTTTTGTGAGTATATAAATAAATATTTTTTTAGATTGAATAGGTGATCATATAGAAGGAAAGATCATCGTTATATAATAGACGAATTGGAAGAAATTCAGCTACTTATTGATCATAAGGCTGATATAGAGGTATGCATTTAAATTTTATTATTTACCTTTAATTATCGTTATATAATTAGAATATTTTATTTATAAGAATTATATATATTTGTTTTAATTTGAATTAACTCCTTATTCTACTGAAGAAATGAGGATGTGCATTTCACCTCACTTGAATGGCTTATCAGATGTGTGGATGGCGGTGGTCCCTCTAATATGTTATGCTATTGTCTAGTGGCATCCTGCTGATTGCGTGCTCTGCCAATTTGGCTTCGTACAATATATTCCTGCAACACCTAAAAATCTCGACCATTTGCATAACGTCTATAGATGGGGCAAAAAGGATGTCAAATGGCTAATAAAGCATAGTGAGTGGATAATGATATGAGAAGATCGACGTGGATGCATTATCCCTAAGGAGTCGATTTATGTTGATCATTATTCGATTGCGGCTGACTATTATCAGTGGTTTAACACGTTCGAGAAGTCATTCCTACTTTTTGAGGAAGCACGAGGTAAGATCATTCATCGACACCAAAAAAGCATCCACCGTCACAGCATCATCGTCCCAACAACTCATGGACGGAGAGCATGCACTTCCAGCTTGTCCTCAGCTGCCCGACAGGAACTATTACATCATGCACAATCTATACCGATTTGCATGGCCATCATGCCACTATAAATGGGTCCACCATCGGTTCAAATATCTCCACTTCTATTTCAGATGGCATCGCAATCGTTTCAGATGGAATCACAACCATTTCAGATGGCATCGCAACCATTTCATATGCCACCGCTGGGTTTTGTGACACCTCATGCCAAACATTATATTTTCATGCCTATGGATCCAACGTGGGTTTCATATGCTGCTTATTTGGTGGGTGGTGCTTCACTAGTGACACAAACACCTCCAACTTAGTATGGATCACAATTTTCGATGTCGATATTTTTGCAGTTTTCACATTTCTCTATGAGCGGTGGGATGATTATTCATACACCTCCAGGGTCCTTATTCTATGGAGGTGCTACATCGCCATCCGTCCCTCATCAATAAAATCTAGTTGCTACTGATGATGAACGAGTTATACGAAGAAACCCTCATCGGAATATATATCCACCGCCATGTGGAACACATTCAAGACGCAGACATCGATATACTTGTTTAGTTTGTAATGTTTTTATTTAATTTTCTTTGTTTATCAGCAAACGTAATGAATTATAGACTTTTTATTTAAGTCGTTTCTTAATGTTTTTATTATTTAATTGTT